GCCTACTACCACAAATCATCTCTTCTGCCTTTACCAATTCCCTCCCTCTCAAACCACAAGGGATTCTGCAAGCAGAATTGGAAGACAGAAAGAACTGAGTCCGTAAACCGTATTTCAGACCTCAAAGTGACAGATTTAAAGGAAACTTTACCATCCTCTTCCCCTCCCTCTTGTCCAAAGCATATGAGCTTGCTGGGTGGAAGCTGGGGAATGAGAGCTGTCCGGAGGCTCTGGTCTGGGCTACCAGCTGGTGACTGCCAGTCTCTTCTGGAGCTGAGTCCCAGGTCCTCTTTACACCCAACTGGCTTCTTGAACTCTCCAGAATCCAGTTTTTCTGTATCCAAAATGGGGAGCAGACCTACTTCATGAGATTGAGAGGATTCAGTGAGGAAGTGTGTGGTGCTTGGTTCATGGGAAGCACTTGTTGAACCATGATCATAATCTAATAATCAGCTCATTCTCTGTGATTACTAGCTCTCTCTGCGAACACTTGTTTCCTGGTTCCGCTGTACCCTTTCTTTCTCCTGCCTTCGCCTGGTGCTGACAGCCTTGCTGAGGCGTCCCGGCAGAGCTCCGCTTCCCTGGCTCACACCCCTGAGGCAGCAGCCCTTCATCGGAGGGGCTCTGGGCACCCAGCCACAGGGAGCCTTCACTGGGCCGCCAGCTGCCTCTGCAGGCGGCGTGGTGCCCACAGCAAGGGAGCAGCTGGCTCCTCCAGCTGTCTAATTGCTCATCAGACCCACTTCAGCACCAGCGTAACATGTCTCACTCCTGCATTCCAAGTCATCTTTCATGTTCTGGACTTCCAGCCCTGGTATCAGAGTGTGTGGTGGGGGGACTTGTGTGTTGGATTTGAGGAGTTTCCAGACCTATATGGATAAGCTGTCAGTATTTGGGTCACTTTTGTGGGCTTGGAAATTCCAGGGGAATATCAATTGATTAATTTGGTAGCCCTTCCCTAAACACCCTCTCTGTCCCCACTCCCATGTGCCAGGCACATGGTTGAGATGAGAGATACAGAGATGGTGACACAGAGTCATTTGGGTCATTACTCATTGGTAATTAGGCATTCACCTTGATGGAAATCATTCCTTTATTCATGCCTCATTTTAATAAATACTACATTTATTGAGTGCCTGAAATGGGTCAGATACTATCCTAGGCATTTGGGCTGACAGCAAACACAACAGGTAAAGATTCTTGCCCTGTGGAGTCACGTTCTAGTTAAGGAGAGACAGATGATAACCAACAAATGGGATGAACAAATGATGTATATCATTGTGGGAAGGTGATGCAGGCTGAGGGATGTGGGGAGAGTGGGGGTTGAAAGAGCTTAGGATCAGCTTAGCTGAGAAGGTGTTTATGCACAGAGGGAGCAGGGAGGGAAGGGCTGGCCGTGTAGGCCCAGATGGGAGAGGGTTCCAGGGAGAGGGGACACGGCTTGTGTCGGCTCGTGCCTGGCATGTCCAAGGAACAGCAAGGAGGCAGCAAGGGCTGCGGGGTGGGGAGGACTCACAGAGGCTCCAAGGTGGTCAGATCCCCCAAGGCCTTGAGCCATCAGGGAAGGTGACATTTCCCGGGAGTGAGAGGGAAGAGGCTGGAGGATTTTGAGCAGAGGAGGGGATTGTCTCACACAGGGTCTTGGAGGTGTGCTTCGACCACTGTGTGAAGACTGGAGGGTAGGAAGCAGGTGTGGAAGCAGAGGAAGGAGTTTGAAGGAGGGTGCAGGGACCCAAGTGAGAGTTGGCCAGGGCTGGGCTAGGCTGTGAGTGGTCAGATGTGTCCTGGCCCTGGCTTTATGTGGTCACTGGAGCTAAAAGGATCCTCAGCAACACGAGATGTGAGCATGAACAGTAAGATGACTCTGTGGCATTTGTCCCAAGTAATTAGAAGAAGAATGGCCCTTGATTGGGGGTGGCTCTGTGGGGTCCAAGCAGAAGTTCTGGTGTGGGGATGCTGAGTGTGACATGTCTGGACATTCACTGGGGGTCAGGAGAATTGTGTGTATCAGGAGTTTAGAAGGAGTCTGGGCCCCAAATACTGCATGGTTGCGTCAAAGGTATTTCAAGCCCTGAGAGACTGGTTGATGCTTTCCTAATGTGTGTAGGCAGACCAGGACTGAGCCCTGGGGCCCTCCCACCTTAGGAGGATGCAAGGAAAAAGTCAGCGTAGGAGTGAGATGGAGAAGGACTGACCAGGGAAGAAGGGAGGAAACTAAGAATGTGGAGTCATGGAGGCCGAGGGAAGAACGTACTTGAAGAAGAGCACATGTGGGCACTGCCACGGGGACAGGTGTGGCGAGGGTGGCAGAGCTTCTGAATAATCTAGTGGCAGCTGTTGGTAGGTGAGAGAGAGAGAGAGAGAGCGCGCGCTCGCGCGAGCGTTTAACTGCAGAACATTGTCCAGAGAATAGGAAGAGCAGAGTCAGAGGTGGCAAGAGGAGCTGGCTTTTTTCAGGAGGTTGGTTTCCCACAGGAGCCAGAGAATGCGGCAATGAATGGCAGAGATAGAGAGTGGGAATTGTGTTTTCCCTGCTAGGTGTATTAAGGTATCATTGACAAGCAAAAATTGTATATATGTGCAGTGTACAATGTGGTATTTTGATAATGTACACATTGTGAAATGATTAAATCAAGTTAATTACCATATCTATCACTTCCCATACTTATCTTTTTTTGTTTGTTTGTTTGTTTGTGGTGAGAACATTTGTGGTCTAATGTCTTACCAATTTTCAAGCAAACAATACAGTATTAACTAGTAACTGTGCTTTACAGTCGGCCTTCGTGGTTTATTTATCCCACCCAACTGAGACCTTTGACCAACACCGTCCCTTCTTTTCGTCATCCTGGCCCCTGGTAACCACCTTGTACTCTCTGCCCTTACATTGCCTGGTTTATTTCACTTAACATGTTGTCTTCCAGGTTCATTAATGTTGTAGCCAATGACAGGACTTCCTTCTTTTTTAAGGCCAAATAAAATTTCCTTAATGTGCATAGTCCACATTTCCTTCCTCTGGTCATGTTGACCCTGAGGTGGATTCTGCATCTTGGCTGTTGTGAATAGTGCTGCAGTAGACACGGGAGTGTAGATACCTCCTCGACATGATGATCTCTTTTCCTTTGGATATATACTCAGTAGTGGGAATCCTGGATCATATGGTTCTATTTTTAATTTTTTGAGGAATTTCCTTACTATTTTTCATAATGGCTGTGCTAATTTACATTCCCACTGACAGTGTTTCCTCTCTATCCTATAAGGCGCTATCTCATTGTGGTTTTAATTTGCATTTCGCTGATGGTTAATAATGTTGAACATATATTTTTTCACATACCTCTCGGCCATTTCTGTTTCTTCTTTGGAGAAATGTCTGTTTAAGCCTTTTACTTATTTTTATTTTTTTCTTTTGTCTATTTTTAAATTAGGTTATTTGTTTTCTTGCCGTTTAGTCATTTAAGTTCCTTTTATATTTTAGATATCAACTCTATCAGATATGTGGTTTGCAGATATTTTCTTCCATCCAATAAGTTGTTTCTATACTCTGATTATTTCCTAAGAATTATTTAAAAAGGAGAAGATCGACATTCATTCGACAGTTGTTTATAAAGCATGTGTCATGTATTGTGCTAGTATCTGACTTAAAATGGAGACCAACTTCCTGAATACAGGGGACTTACATCCTACTGGGAATGATGGTAGAGGAGGCAGGAGTAGCCCCTGCCTCTCTGCTTGGGTTCCACCTGCCCATGGCCACCTACCTTCTTGCCTCCTCTACTTGCTTTGATGGTGACTCAAACAGAACTTTGCTTTTCCCAGCAGACCATGATTCCTTTCTCAGTCTTCCCAACTGCATCAGTTACCTCTTGTTGCAACAACAGTATAACCAGAAATGTAGTGCCCTAAAACAACACTGATTTATTATCTGATAGGTCTGGAGCCAGAAGTCTGATGTGGATTTCACTGAGCTTAAATTGAGGTGTTGGGAAAATTGTGTTCCTTTCTGGAGACTATGGGGGTGGCCCATTCCTTGCTTATTCAGATGTTGGCAGAGTTTAGTTCCAAGTTGTTGTAGGATGAAGTTCTCGCTTCTAGGCTGGCTCACAGCTGGGGGCTGCCCTACCACTAGACCCCATATCCCGGGACCAGCAGTGGCACATTCAGTCCTTGTGCTTGGAGTGACTGCCTGTTTTCCTGGGACCAGCAGTAGCACATCTGGTTCTTGTACTTGGAGTGACTGCCTGCTTTCCTCCTTTTGTTTTTGTCTTCTGCCACTCCTCTCTTTGCTTCCATCCAGAGAAAGTTCTCTGCTTTTAAGGGCTTGTGTGATTGGGTTGGACTCATGAAGGTAATCCAGGGCACTGTCCCAGTTCTAGGTCTATAACCCTGATCATACCTGCGCAGTCCCTTCTGCCACCATGTGTTCACTGCATCTTTATGGCAGGCACAGACCTCCTTGGGAGTCATTCTGCCACCTTAAAACATGCCACCACCTGGTTGCTCACACCCAAAATTGGAGAGTCATCCTTAGTTTCTCTGTGTACTTTGTCTCTTTTTTGTAATCCACAGTAAGTTCTGTTAGGTCCAAAATGCATCCTAAAAATGACTAGCCAATCCTGAGAGTCTCAATGCCGCTAGTGTGGGTCAGGCTCACCGCCTGTAGCCTGAGATGCCACAGTAGCTGCTGGTTGGGCTCCTCTCCTCTAGCCTGGCTCCTTGGTAGTCTGCCCTTCACATAGCAACTGGAGCAATGTGAAGGTCACTGGACCAACAGATCACATCCCACACCTCCCTTGCTTAAAGCCTCTGTTGACTTTGCCTCCACATGGGAATAAGATATGAAAATTATGGTTCTGCTGGGTTCCAGCAGCAGCTGCTGTGGCTCTGCTCTGCCCTAGTTCTCCTTGCCATCATCCCTTGCTTCTGGAGACATGGCCTCTGGCATGGCTGTCTCTGAAGTCATCATCAGGCATCCAGTGTCATGAAGGTGTGCAAGTCTTTGCCAGAGGTGGAGAAGCGCAGGAGGTGGTGAGTGAGGGAGAGAAGAAGTTTACCATAGAGAAGGGCAAGGACATCCTGGTAGGTGATGTGGGCCAGACTGCCAATGTCCCTGTGCCACCCTTGTCAAGAAGCTTCCACTTGAGGACTGCCACTATGCTGTCTATGCCACTACCTATGATGCCAAGGAGAGCAAGAAGGAGGGCCCAGTGTTTATCTTTTTGGGCCCTGAGTCTGCATCCCTTAAGAGCAAAATGATTTATGCCAGCTCCAAGGGCACCATCAAGAAGAAGCTTACAGGGATCAAGCACAAATTACAAGCAAACTGCTGAGGACCCCTGTACCCTGCAGAGAAGCTGGGGGGCAGTGCTGCCATCTCCATGGAGGAAAGGCTTTTGTGAGCCCTCTCCCACCCCTGTCTGGAGCATCTGGCAGCCCCAGACCTGCCCCTCAGGCCTGCAGGCTACCCCCTCCTGCCAGACTGGAGGGGTATGGTGGATCCATCAGGGGTGGGCAGTCCCTTTATCTCAGTTACCAGACAGTCTACCTACTCCCTGGATTTTCCTCTTCCTGCCCTCCCTGATAGTTCCGGCCTTCATAAATGGCTTTCAATCTTCTGATTCCTCTGGGGTTGAAGCAGACCAGGTTCCTCCCAGGCACCCCATAGAGGGGCTGTATTTGCCGACTTCTAACGAAGTATTGACTCTGCTTGTCTGTTGAGTTCGGTGAATAAAGGAATGTGTGGAGATGACACCTCCCTTTTCCCCTGGCCGTAGCCAGTCACGGAAGCAGGATCAGTAAGGGACCTTTGATTGTCTCTCTCTCTCTCTCACACACACCCACCCATGAAGAATTATGAGATCTGCCTCACTGTTGTTCTGTCACCACCACCCACCTCCTTGCTCAGCTTGCTCTGCCTTCTCTCTGTTCCTTGAAGAGGTCCCTTGGAGCCACATCACTGCACTGGCCATTCCCCCCATGATAGCCCCATGACAGAGCTGGGGTCTCCTCAGAAGGGGGGCCCAATCTCTCCTTGTCTAAAAGAGATTTTCCCAAGGCATGCTCAGGTTTATTTGTGTGTAGAAATTATCCTCATTTTTTGCTCATTTGCCACAGACCAGATGTGAGTGCTCAGAAGGGAACAGCCTGGCAGGTTTGGTCCTGTGGGATCCAGGTGCCTTCAGACCTCTGCATGTGGGCAGACCAGTGAGACACAGTGTCAGAACTCTAGAACCTTTCTGGAGAATGAGCTGTGCTCGTCTGCACTTCCACCTTAGCAGCTAAGCGGGAGAAATACTTTCCATCTGCCCACGTCATATGGGACTTCTAAAGGATTAGGACATAGCTCCTCAATTGGCTCCTCACTTAAAACTGTTACTTTTTATCTAATACTTTATTAGACACTCTGGAGGACATCCAGCCTCCTTTAGGACATTTCCTCCCCCTCCAGCAGGGGATGACTTCTGCCCATGTCAGTATCTCACACTGTAATAGTCAATGTAGAGAAAGAACTCCCCAGCAGACAGGAGACATCCCCATCAGCAGACGGAGAGAGAGGTGGACTGCACCCTCCACCTTGGAATATTATAAACGCCCCCCCCCTCCCCCCTGATTCCGCCCCGCCCCACTTCCTCATGCACTTTCTTGCTTTGAGTTCCTGGATATAATTAAGACTTTCTGGGAAGTTGTCAAGGCTATACAACTTCTCTGTGGGCTTTCAAAATAGCCTCTGGTTTGTCATTTATTATTATATTGTTCTAGATATATCAAGGTCTCTTTTTCACCTGGGGGGAAAAATGCACTGAGCTTCCAGGTGTACATGGAAATTATTCAAAATATGGTGTGGTAGAAAAACTCAGTAAACAGGTGGAGGCAAGATGGCCGACTGGAGCCAGCTATCCACAGAGGCTCCCTTCCAGGAGGAGGGTTAAAGGACAGAAGTTTAGCAAGTAAGCTGATGTTTTGAAGCTGAGTTATGAGAGAAGGTTGAAGAATGCACATCAACCCTGCTGAGGCAAGCTGTGACCCCAGGGAAACAAATAGTAGGTATAGAATCCATCGCCAAACAGACAGGAGTCCCCTCCCCCATGAGAACATATTTCTACAAATAAGCAAGCAGAGTTCAGATATCCTCCTACTTTATTCCACGGGAGAGACCCTCTAAAAACTGGAACTTCTTCCCCAGAGAGGACCTACCAGTGTGCCATGGCACTCTCCCATCATGCATAAAACTGTATATATTCTCTACCTGCAATTCTGAACTCCCAGCACTCCCCTCCACTCTCACCCTGAGGTCTGGAAGCCTGTGCCCCATGGAGTCCAGATTCTTGGGCATTTTCTTGAGAGGTGTGCATAGGGCATGGCTGTTGCAGGTCTGTGCTAATTCTGGGGCACGGAAGTAAGGAAAAGACGGTGAACTGAGGGAGCCATATGGAAGAGGGAGAGGTGGTGCCCACAGCACAGAGCAGCAGCAGCAGCAGCAGCAGCAGTGAGAACAATGGGACTCACACTGCTGGGGATATTTTAGAGAGACACTCCCTGCCTCTCTGGGCAACCAGAGGAAGTTGGGCATCTTCTCTGGTAGCAGCCACTGGTGGAACACAGCTGGGATGGAAATGCAGGCCCTGTGAGTAAAGGGTATGCTTGAGGCGGTACCTGCCTGAGTGGAGTGTGGTGGGGACAGAGACTAGCACGTGTGCAGAGATGGCATATGCCCAGAGAGGGGCTGAGTCAGAAGGACTGCTTTAGTGAGCCTAAGAAGCTCCTGCCCCTAGGGGATCATAGCTGAGACAAAAGCAGGGGAGCAGAGGCAGGAACTGAGAGCTAAGTGTGAACTCTAATTGTGCCCACCCCAACACAGAGAGCAGCAGAAACAGACATGCCAGCTCTGGGCAGCAGTACAGACCGGGGCTAAGTTGCAGTTTCTGTGAACTCAGACAGTGCCTGGTCCGTAGGGGAATATAGCTGGGACAGAAACAAATTCTACAAAAATATAAATGTCAGTAAACATCACTCAGGGGCGGGGCTGGAACTGAATGAACTGCCCCAGCTTCCATTAAGCACCCAAGGTTGTTAGGTCTCAGCTCCCCTGCCGGATGGTGGCAGAGTGTGGCGGGTTGGCCAAGGAAACATAGATCTTCCTGTGACTCAGGAAGGTGCAAACCCCTAGAGCATCTGCTCATTGGAGGGAACTGGGTCTTAGCCCTGCAGAGTTACCAGTGACTGGATGTGATAGAAGTGCAAGGAGGGGAAGGAGGCATCAACCTTCCCAGACTAATTCATTTGCTAGGGGGTCCTTCTGACTCCATGGAGCACTGGAGTGAGTCATACTCGAGCTGCCAGCAGACCCCTGCTATCTAGTTGCTGGAGACCTTTTGAACTCTCTCACCTGAGACCAAGTGCTGACTGGTACAATTGATTTGGATCTCTTGAACTGGGCCAAGGAGTATTTAAAGTGGAAACCTGGGTGTGTGGTGGTGGGAAGGTTTGATTGTCCTTTCCCAGTTGTTGCCTGTGGGGGATGGGGTGACTTAATTGCTGGTATTCCTCCACAGCTGAGACTTCAATCCAGAGTAACTGATTCACTTGGGGTAGGACAGAAACCAGCTAAAAACAAGACAGAGCCTCTTAGCCCCACCACACCAAGGAGGTCCCCAGTGCCTTAGGCCATACCACTGTTTGGGTCCTTTGCAAAGCTCTAGGGGAAAAGGTACAGACACCAGTCCCAGCTCTTGGGCAAAGGACTGGTTAATCACTACTCCAGGAGCCCCCAACCCAACTTAACCTTATCTGCTCATCTAGCCAAACAGTATAAAATAATCATGGGGTGGAATTAGCGGACAAACTCTGGTAACATGAATAATCAGAGTAGATCAACTCCCCCAAGGAACAACTTGGCAGAAGATCCCATTCATAAACAAAGGCTGTGATGTCAAAAATCAAACTGAGAATTTGGATTGCAAATAAGAATAATAGAATGGAGGTAAAGTTGGAATTAGAAATTCAAAGAGCATTTTAAAAGTTGTCTCAAGAATTCAATGAATTCAAAGACAAAATCACCAAAGATTTTGACACATTGAGACAACAACTTGCAGCCCTCAAAGATCTGAGAAATATAGTAGACTCCCTTAGTAACAGACTGGAGTAGGCAAAAGAAAGGATTTCTGACAGTGAAGACAAAGGTTTTGAAAGCTCCCAAACATTCAAAGAGGAAGAGAAGTGGAGAGCAAAAATGGATCATTCTCTCAGAGAGCTCTGGGATAATTCAAAGAAAACTAATATAGAATTATTGCCTTATAGGAATTCCTGAAGGTGACAAGGTTGCTTCAAAAGGCACAGATGCTCTACTTCATGAAATAATGAAGGAGAACTTCCCAGACATACCAAGAGATTCTGAAATTCAGATAGCAGATGGTTTCAGAACCCTAGCATGACTCAAACCAAATAAGACATCTCCTAGGCATGTTATAATTAACTTTGCCAAAATTAATATGAAGGAGAAAATTCTGCAAGTGGCCAGATGTAAGAAAACTGTAACCTACAAGGGGAAGAATATTAGAATGACTGCAGATCTCTCTGCTGAAACTTTTCAAGCTAGAAGAGGGTGGTCATTGACTTTTAATCTCCTAAAAGAAAATATCTTTCAATCCAGGATCCTGTATGAGTTTCATTTATTATGGAGAAATTAAATACTTTAATGACATATACACGTTGAAGAAATTTGCCATAACTAAACCAGCCCTCCAGGATATTCTCAGACCTATCCTCCATAATGACCAGCACAATTCTCCACCACAAAAGTAAACTCACTCAGAAACTTTTGATCAAATTCCAACTTTCACAGTGGCAAAAGGATTAAAAATGTCCCCTGGAC